GGTTTTGAACTCAGGGCTTTGGCCTTGCTAGGCCAGCACTCTACCACTTGAGCCATGCCCCCAACCCTTTTTGCTTTAGTTATTTTTCAGATAGAGTCTCACTTTTTGCTCAGGCTGATTTCAAACTGAGATCCTCCTATTTCCATCTCCCAAGTAGCCAGGATAACAGTCATGAGCTACCATTGCCAGCCAAAACTTAACATATCCTTGAAGACTTCCTCTCGGCCCTGACTCACATCTATCTGTAACCTTCACCCCTACGGGCGGCCACTGCACACTTTTGTTGCTCACTAGGGAAATATTTTAAAGAAACATCTATCAGAACACGCTGGTACTTGTATGCAGCCCTCCAGTGGCTTCCCGTTACACTCACCTCACTGTGACCTATGAGGCCTTGTGTATCCTGGCCCTATCTCTATCTCTGTTCCTAAATAATCACACCACCCCCACAGTGCTCTGCTCCAGCCATCCTGCCTACCTTGACATTCTCTCACGAGTCAGGTTCTGACCTTGTGGGATCTGTGCTTGGCCGTGGACCCAGTGCTGCACATCTGTAGTCCCGGTTATACGGGAGGCTGGGATAGAAGGATCACTTGGGCCCAGAAGTTTGAGGCCAGACTGGGTAACATAGTGAGCTCCGTCTCAAAAAACTGCATATATATCTCACAAATATATTTATTACAATTACACATACTCCATACGCATTATATTACACATCTACATGTGTGTTACACACACAAAATACACACATGCATACACATAAAATACGTACATGCATAAAAATACATTACATACACATACATACATGTGATCTTTGTCCCGCTTCTTGACACACAGCTCCTAAATTTTTCACAGTGGTTTTTTTTCTGTGCTGACGAGCTGACTGTGGGTCAGCAGTCACAGGTGGCTTCAGGTTGGAGGCTGGTTACCCAAAAGACCAAGGCATTACAAGGTTGGACTTTATTTCAACCCTCAGCCTCCAGGGAAGGGAGAGGGGCTGAAGGCTGAGTTAATGCCAATGGCCAAGAATGTCATCAATCCTGCATACGTAGTGACGCCCCCAAGCCCCCAAAGGACATGGTTGGGGGCACGCTGAGTGGGATAATGGCACACAGCCCTGCAGGGCATCTCGTGCCTGTCCGTCCACAATAAACCAGGACACGTTTCTCTGAGTTCATGAGTGGCAGCTGAGGAGGAGGTTGTGGGAAGCGGATTTACAGGGCAGCACAGGGAGACCCACTCTGCTGCAGTCTTGGGGACCAAGCCTCAACCTGTGGGACCTGGCGCCTTTGCAGGCAGGCAGCATCAGAACTGAGTAGAATCAGAGGCCACCTAGCTGGGTGCGCTACAGATTTGACTAGTGCTTGGCAGGTGGGGAAGCCACAGCAGTTGTGACAGGCAGTGGGAGAAAGTGAAACTGAGTTTGTTTTTTCCTCTCTCAGGCCCACTTCCACCTCTGGGGCTTTTGATTACGGTTCTCAGGCCTTTCTGCAGGTTCCTTCCTTACCTTCCTACAGGCCTCTGCTCAAATGTTGCCTCCTCAGAGTCACCACCTGTCATTCTCCGTGACCTCTGTCATTCTCCACCCCCTCAGCTTTTCTTTTCTTTTTTTTTTTTAAATTTTTTTTCTCCTCTTTGTTTTTGTGAGACTCAAGTCCCATAAGGAGGACACAGGGCCATTATCTTAATTGTGCTCCAAGGTGTGGCCATCTGCGGTTTTGGGGTTTGGAGCTGGAATCCTGTAGCCAGGGGCATTTCCTCCTTCCTGCCCATGGCCGTTGTGCAATGGACCTCTTGAACTTGACCCTCTCTAGCTGTGATTCTGAATAACTCCACAATTCCCACCCCACCTTCCATCTCCACTGATTTTCTTTTCTTCCAAGAATTTTTGACATGATGTCGTCTGTCCTACTTCAGTGCCTGCTCCTGTCCCACTCACCATAGGATTCCGGCCTGATAATTTATTTAACGTATGAATGAATGAAATGAGCAGAGAGATGAATAAAGATGAATGGACCGCTTGGCAATGGCTCTGAAAATTCCCACTGCACACACCCTTTGACTCAGCAATCTTACTTCAAACGAGATATTCTGTTAATGACTTGTCATATACATGCAACGGGTGTAGAAGGAAATTAATGCAAACACAGGTTTATAACAGCCGAAGTTCAGACAGGATCCAAGAGCATATCCACAGGGGAGTTGTCAATAAAGCTGGTCTGTCTACACACCAGCATACCATGTTGCTAACATAAGCGGCTCTCCGGGTGTCTGACTGCACTACTGACTCACCACCAGACAAGCTGCCTAGTACCAGGGGAAAATGTGGCTCGCCCTGGAGTGAGACAGGGGGGATCCAGGCCCTGAAGCCACGAGCAGTGGAGCCTTCAGCATGGCCTTCTCCCTTTCAGATGCATTGGTCTGCAGCTGTTCAGTGAGGAAGCGGGGAATTACAGTGATGTGTACAAAGCAGGGGAAATGGAACCTGGCACATAGTGGGCCCAAGGTCAATGCCAAGCCTCTTCTCTTTTTAATTTGTTCTCCCCTCTGAGGGTTGCCCGAGTGTGAAACTGGCAATGAAGGGTGATCTGAGGTTGAGGAATTCAGATTAGAAAAAGTTATTGGCCTGAACTGAAGATGGAGAAGGGGACACTGGCACATAGAATACAGGGAGGGTCTGTCCTGTGTATTTCATTAAACATCCACTGATAAGAGAAAAATTTTGAGATATCCCGTATTTAATTACCAGAGGATGGAGGGGAGATGGGGAAGGTGAATCAGATAACAGCTAAGGAACTAAAAAAAAAATCACTTCACATACATTTTTTTTTCAGCACTGGGTCTTGAACTCAGGGTCTACACCTTGAGCCCACTCCACCAGCCCTTTTTTGTGTTAGGTACTTTCGAGATAGTGTCTCATGAACTACTTGCCCAGGGCTGGTTTCAATCCACAATCCTCCTGATCTCTGCCTCCTGAGTAGTTAGGATGACAGGTGTGAGCCACAGGCGCCCGGCTTCCCATACGTTCTTGAATGTATGTGAAAACCTCAAGTTCTAACCTGACCCCATAGGTATCATGCATAGTCCTTATAACTCCAGCAATTCCAGAGCGAAGAGTAATTTTCACGGACTGTCCTCCCATCCCCGAACATCCCCCCTCTGAATTACTCCGCCTCTTATGTCAATGGAACTCCATCCAATACAAATTCAGTATAAACAACTTAGGCTCTCCTCCAATTTTTCATTACAAAAGTTCTCTTGGCTCTAATTCAGGAGCCATCTTTCCAACTGCTATCTAGCCTCACTGCTAGAAGTTGCAGAAACTTGTCCTAGAACCTAGTTCTTTGTTTTCCTCTTTGGCTTGCATTTGTAACAGCTAGATAAACTCTTTTATTTCAAGATTCCTTGGTCTCAAGAGTTCTAACACCATCTCTCAGAAGAACCCATAAACAACAGAATTCAAGTCAGTCTGCGTGACTGGTGTTTTCATCTAGCCTGCAGCAGCTTGGAGAAATGGTTCTGCCTGGCACTGGTAGTGAGGGAGGCAGAGGGGGGATAAGGCCTGGGAGAGGGCAGCTCAGAATCAACCACTATCACCAATCATCGTCGATCACAAAATAACATTTGGTGCTACTATGCACCAGGCTCTTTCAGCCCATTCAACCATAACAATAGTGTAAGCTGCTATCAGCCTCATTTCACAAATGAGGACATCAAGACAGAGAGCATTAAGGAACCTGGTCAAAGCCTGCAGCTATTTATACCAACGATCACATGCTCCTAGGCCTTGCTATAACACAAGGAAGCTGGGAACTGAGGCTTCATAAATGGGAAAAAATGGAGCCCAGAAAAGGAGATTCACATTTATTGCTTAAATTACGCCAGTATGTATTACCTGTTCAAATGTAATTTCCAGGTGTGTGGGGGGAGACTGGGGATTGAACTCAGGGCCTAAGCCTAATGCTTGCTAGGCAAGCGCTCAAATATACGTTTAAAAAACATTTGAGAGTCCGGCGCTGGTGGCTCACACCTGTAATCCTAGCTACTCAGGAGGCAGAGATCAGGAGGATCTCGATTCAAAGCCAGCCCCTGACAAATAAGTTCTTGAGACCCTATCTCGAAAAAAAAAAAAAAATCACAAGGCAGAGTGGCTCAAGTAGTAGAGGGCCTGTTTACTAAGCGTGAGCCCTGAGTTCAAACCCCAGTGCCACAAAAAACAAAAAAAAGAAAATTTGAGTAGGGCTGGGGATGTAGCCCAGTGGTAGAGCCCTTGCCTAGCATGCAGAAGGTCGTGGTTCCATCGCCAGCACCGCAAAAAGGAAAAGAACAAAAAGGAAAAAAAAAAAAAAAAGGAGGTAAACGAAAGCACACATAAGTGGGATTTCGAATGAAAAGTGGGAATTTCCTATTCACTTATCTTCCCACCCGTTAGGACGCCGCACCCCTCGACTGCGCATGCGCCCTTCGTACTGCACGTGGCAACTGGCAGGACTGTGCTCGTGGATTTGTGGGTTTTCGGCCCTGGGACTGGATGCCTCCTCCATGCAGCCCCCGAGGATTTAACTCAGTTTTGCTCGCATTAGGCAGTGTGTCACCATGACTTCAGTCAGGATCAGGCCCACCCATCTCGGCGACTGTCCCATCTTGGCTGTACGGTGAGGGGAGGGTACCCTCAGTCTAATCCAGGACCTTTCTTTAGGAGTCCTGGCCGCCTTTGCTTAACTCCTCCCTTCCCGTCCTTCTGAACTGAGCCCGTTTGTAAGTGATTTGGTCCCCAGGCAGTTTCCCTCCATATGTTGAAATCCCTTCCAAGGCAAACTCCAGATCGAAATCATTCCAGTATGCTCAGCAATCACTCAGCACAGGACACTGAAATTCCTCCGTGCTGCTTCACCCTATCCTAGGCTGCCAAAATTACTGAAGAGGCGGGATTCAAACTCGAAATCTCCGCGGCCTCTCGCCCTTCCTCCTCCTTTTCCGCTTATCCACCTCCCCCAGCCTAGCGAGAGGACGCGCACGCGCATTGGCAACCGCGGCGCGCTCCCGCCTCCCGTTCGTAGTCCGCATGCGTGCTGAAGCCAATGCCCTCCAACGACGCATGCTCACGTTAGGGTCTCGCGCGCCCTGCTCGCGGCGCATGCGCAGAGCGAGGGCCCACAGGACCTGATTTCTGTTGGCCGCGCGATACCTTATCTTCCTCTTTCGGGCAGGCGTTTCTTAGTTGCTGCTTCCGGAACTCTGAGACCCGTTCCGGAGTGGCCGGAGCCCGCTTTTTCTTTTTTTCACTCTCCTGATTCCCTGGACACCATTTACAGGCAGGTGGCTAGTGGTGGAGCCTCCCCGCCCCCACCCCACTCCTGTCAGAGGAGAGCGCTCGCCGCGCCCAGGACCAATCAGCAGTCACCTTAGGTAAGGACCTGAGAGCCTGCGCGAGGCACGCGCACCTCCGGAGGCGGGGCTTGGAGGCGGGGCGTAGCGTGCTCGAGGGACCAATCGGCAGCTCTTAGGTAAGTGGGCGTGCCGGCGAAGCACGCGCACCGGCTGGGGTCAGAGCGTACTTCGGGCTACGCCCCCGACTGTTGAGCGGTGGCTGGGATCCGGGCAGCAGGGTGGCGGAACCGAGTAAGGGAGCGGGGCGCTGTGCGTTAAATGCTGGGTTGGCGGGAGTCGGAGTCCTGTAAATTTCCCGTAAAGTTCTGAGGAAGTCTCTCTACTCACATAGAGAAGCTTAATTTCTGAAAATGCCCTCGTGGAGTTCCTGCGAGCGTTCTAAATACTAGGAATGTGTAAATGGGAATTTGGGTTGCGGGGCTTCTCCTGGCAGGCCTTGTAAACTGATGCCTAATTACGGCATCATATAGGACCCTGTAAATATGTTCTTAAGTCCTCAGAAAAAATGTGTAGCTAGGTTATTAAATTCTCACTAGCGGATGGGCGTTAATACACAGTTAGGAACCGGGAGTCTCCCTAAATAACTTGCAAACAGCAAGTTAGATTCCAGAGGATCCCCAGAGGAGGTGTGTGAAAAGATGCTTGATTACCGAGGAAGCCCCTAAAGAATGTGTAAAATATTTAATTTCCGGGAGGATCCCTGTGACTAGACACTAATAAGTTTGGGTGTCAGCGATCCCTAAAGGAGCCTGGAAACAGCATTGGAGGTTCCCAGATTGTATATAAGTGGGCTTTGAAGTTCTGGGGTGCTCCCCATAAGGGCTGTTATGTAGACTCAGATACTGGGGATGGTCCCAGAATAACTTGCAAACTGACACTTGTTTGCCTAGGAAGGCAAACACACTTAGGTAGTAAACACACTTTAGTGCAGGGGCAGAATCCCCACTGGGAGACAAAAACAGCCACTTAAGACTGGGAAGGTTTTCAGAATAATTGGTAAACACACTTAATTGCAGGTGAGGAAGGAGTCCCGAGTTGTGGAGAGATTTCCATCAGCGACTGTAAACAGTCATTGAAGTGTTGAATGAATCATTTTTCCATAAGCACTGGTAAGCAGGCTCTCGTCCTCCTCTGCCTCAGAAGGCATTCATCAACCCATTTTGTGGCTGGGGGAGAGGTCACACAGGGCAGGAGAGGGGCTAGATAAGTCCCTGTCTGGTAGCAGAATTGTCCTGAAGGCTGTAAACAGATTCTCCAGCTCTGGATGGCTCCCAAGAGCCTGGTTATGTCATTGAGTACCGAAGTAGGGTGGGGAGGGCGGGGAGGGCCGTACTGTCAGCAGACTTTCTGTAAAGGGCCAGAGAGCAACATTTCAGGCTCTGCAGTCCACACCAGCTCTTTCTCGGCTACTCAGCTGGCCCTTGAATCAGGGAGGACATAGTTTGGGGGTTGGATGTGACCATGTTCTGATAAAACCTTGCATTTGGAAAAACAAGATACACCATAGGCCACAGGTTGCCACCCCGAGCCATTAGAACAGACAGCCCCACAGGGTCCTGCAGACAATGAAGTGCCCAAAGACTGCCTAGGCTGATGTGTAAACCCTGGGGGTGCACTCTCAGGACCCGCAGACAAGTACGTGAGTGGTGGAGAGGGCCGTACAGAGAGCCATGCGCTATGGGTCACATCTTAAATCGTTCAGCACTGCTGAGACCTCTCCGTGGAGTACAGTGAGAGTATGGGGCTGGCAGACGGTCACGGTTGTTGTGGGGACCGGGTAAAAATAGCTACACCCATGCTAGAGCCCCACCCCCACATGGCAGGAGTGGGCGACCAAAGAGTACTTGTCGCGCCCAGGATCCAGCAGCCCATTTGTAAGGAGACGGCTTCGTGCATTTTGGAAAGGGCATTTGTGACTGCCCCATAAGTTACGTTTCTGTTAGAGTATTTCAGTGGCTGCGAATAGCTCTAGTTACAGGTGAGAGATAGCAATGTGTTTCTCACTGCATCCAGAGATGTTTTAGGTATTTTGGGGACTACCAAGCCTTGTGTCTTGTTTTACCATGCCTTCCGTAAGTTGCCTCAAAGCTCTACATAGCTTCCTGAGCTCCAGCCTCCACACCTGCATTCCTTCCAGCCAGGAGGAGGAAGAGACAAAAGGCATGTGCCAATTTTCTAAAGGGAAGATTCCAAAAGTGCCAAACCATACATCTGGTATACCATTTGCCAGAAAGTGCTTAGTCATGTGGTAATAAATATGTGGCATAAATAAATAAATGTGGCATGCAAATAAAGCTGAGAAGTGTGTTCTGGATCGCCTCGCATCTCACTCAGAACTGAGGGTTTTCCTCTCGTGGAAGAAGTGAAGAGCGGATAACGGGAGGTGGTGGGCTGTTGATGCCACAGCCACAGAGCTTCCTTTTGGAATGAAGAGCCTTCTTCCGGTCCAGGGAGAGGCAGATGGAGTAGAAAGAGGTGCTTGTCCTGAGGTCCCCTCATTCTCTCTAGGTGGCCATGTCTGAGTCCGGGCACAGTCAGCCCGGGCTCTACGGGGTAGAGCGACGGCGGCGGTGGAAGGAGCCTGGCTCTGGAGGCCCCCAGAATCTCTCTGGGCCTGGCGGTCGGGAGAGAGACTACATTGCACCATGGGAAAGAGAGAGGCGGGTGAGTGTCTGGATCCAAGGCAGCATTCACTGTCACTAAGCCAGGTGTCAGGGATGTAGCTGTGAACAAAACTGATGCCCTCATGGAGAAAAAAGGTAGAGAATGAGAAAGGGGCTGTTTTAGGTGGTGACATCGTCAAAGAAGGCCTCTCTGAAGAGGGGATTCTGGAACAGAGACCTGAAGGAGGTAAGGGAATAAGCCATGCCAGCTTCTGAGTGGAAGAGCATTCCAGACAAAGGAACAGCAAGTGCAGGGTCCTGAGGTAGATGAGGACACGGGAAAGGGACAGGAGATGAGGTCAGATCCTGTAAGACCTGCTTAACAAGAACTTTGGGTTTTGCTCTGAGAAAAATAGCATTGGAGAGTTTTGAGCCAAGAGCTGCCATGGGCTCAAATTTTAAAGAGCTGTGTAACAGTAACTTTCTGTTTATGGTAACTTTCTATTCACTGAGTAGCACAGAGTATGCTGGCCCCATGCAAAGTGCTTTACATCCTTCGGGTTTTCTCGAACCCTTGCAGCCACCCCCTGAAGCAGAACCTTTGCTAGATCTGATTTTCACTAGAGAGGAAAACGAACCTTGGTGGCGAAGGGACTTGCCAGACTTCACAGGGTCAATAGCCTAGGGGCCAGGATTCAGATCCACTGCCAGCCCAGTCACCAGCCCAGCATTGGCATTGTTCTGTCTGATATGGGCCAGGCCTTGGACTGGGTTTGTTTGATGAGGGTTTTTTGCAGTGATGGGAATAGAACCTCTAGGCAAGCATTCTTATCACTTGAGCCACACCCTCCTCCCTTTATTTTGTATTTTCTTTATTTGTGTGTGTGTGGTGCTGGGATTTGAACTCAGGGCCTACATCTTGAGCCACTCCACCAGCCCTTTTTTGTGATGGATTTTTTGAAATAGAGTCTCTCGAATTATTTGCCTGGGCTGGTTTCAAACCATGATCCTCCTGATCTCTGCCTCCTGAGTAGCTAAGATTACAGGCCACCAGCACCCAGCTGTATTTTGTTTTTCAACCAGGGTCTCCCTGTGTAGCTCAGGCTAGCCTTGAGCTCTCCATCCTCCTGCCTGGGATTCCAGGCATGTACCACCATGCCCAGCTCTGCTCCTCAGATATTTGATGGGGTGGTAGAAAGTAACGGTTGGGACCAGATTCTGAGCCGTGAAAACACAGATGTGAAGAAGCCGGACTCTTGCTTGCTCCTCCTCTTGGGTCACAGCATGAATGAAAACATTTCTTCCCACATCCTATCAGGGAATGTCACCTTATTCCCGCAGCTTCTGTCAGCATTAGCCCCTCAACACACAACTCCTGAGTATTCTGTTTGTCTCTGACTCTGTTGCTGAACACTGGTAGCTTCCTGCCTCACCCATGGTCCCTCCCGTCCCGCACGGCCCCCACCCTTCTCCTCCAGCATCAGTGACAGCGGTGGGCCTCCTGGACTCTCCCTTCCCCTCCCCTGCACTGCTCAGGCCTCAGTGCCTTCTAACTACGTGTGTTGTCAGCTGTCCACCCTCAGCATCCTTAAGCCCACAGCCCCTCATCCTGCAGGACTTTGCTGCGCCACAGCACCTTGACCTCATGCTTCACTACACGCCAGCAAAGTGAGCGGGATTGGAGTGCTCAACACAGACGGTGAAGAAACAGACCCATTAAGGGCCTGAGACTCCCCAAGTTCCTCAAGGGACCAGAGCAGGAACAGGACTTAAATTCAAGCTTCTTAAGACTGAGGGAATCAGAGGTGGGAAGAGGGTGGTTTACGAGTGCAGGGGCAGTACTTGGGGAACAGCAATCAGGATGACAAAGGCCTCTAGCAGCAGGTGTCATCGATGACACTGGCCAGTGTACTAGTTTTGCCTCCTCTAAAGGAGGAGCTCCTGGCCTGCTTGCCAGAGGAGAAACAGGAACAAGCGCAAGGGGTCCTTACTCAGGTTCACACAGCCAGCAAGTGGCTGGTTTGAACCCAATGGTAGCTCCAGAGCCTTCATTCTTTTCCCTTGGACCTGTCATCTAGGAAAGGCTGCCTATCCAATGGTTGAGGACGTGACCTGGGGCCAGGCTGCCTGGGTTCATCTCCTGATTCATTGCATATTGGTTGTGTAATTTTGAGCAAGCCACTTAGCCTCTCTGTGCCTCAATTTTTCTTTGACATAATGGTACCTGTCTTGCAGGGTTGCTGGGAGGGTTGAGGGAGGTAACATGGGGGTGTCTAAAGTGGTCCCTGGTACATAAGGCCATGTGGAGTGGCCAGGTGCCAATTCCTGAGTGACCTCTCTCTCCGCAGGATGGCAGTGAAGACACAAATGCAGCTGTCATGCAGAAAACCCCCATCATCCTCTCCAAGCCTCCAGCGGAGCGAGTGAGTGGGGACGGTGGGGGGTGAACCTTGGGAAGCAGGGGAGGGAGTTGGGAAAGCATCTCCTCCATTGCTGCAACCATCTCACTCCCATAGTCAAAGCAGCCACCACCACCAGCAGCCCCTGCTGCACCGCCCACTCCAGCCCCCCTGGAGAAGCCCATCGTTCTCATGAAGCCACGGGAGGAGGGGAAGGGGCCCGCAGCCACAGCCAATGCCTCTACCCCCGAAGGCACCGTGCCACCACCCCCTGCAGCCCCTGCACCCCCCAAGGGAGAGAAGGAGGGGCAGAGACCCACCCAGCCTGTGTACCAGATCCAGAACCGGGGCATGGGCACTGCAGCACCCACCGCCATGGATCGTGAGTAGGACCCTGGCAGGACGGGCATAGGGCCAGCACCCCTCCCACACAGACCCTTACTCGGGCTCTGTCTCCTGCATTTCCCTCTTCAGCTGTCGTGGGCCAGGCCAAACTGCTGCCCCCAGAGCGCATGAAACACAGCATCAAGTTGGTGGATGACCAGATGAACTGGTGTGATAGTGCCATTGAGGTACTGGGGTTCCCCACCTGAGCTTTCCCAGGTCCCCCACCTGTCCCTCCACCCCACCTGCCACTCTTGGTAGGCAACACCAGCTCTCAGACAGTTGCTGCAGTGAGGGGGGAGGGATCAGAAAGTTCTCACGTAACCAGGCTTGCATTTCAGCTAGCTCAGCTATGCTGGCTGTTGAAATACTGAAATCTAGTGATGCTGCTTGGTAAACAGGTACTGTCACAACTGAGTGAGGTGCTGCAGGCCAGCCATTCAGGAGGCAGAGGCAGGAGGATTACAAGTTCCAGGCCAACCTGGTACTGTCCCTACTGTCCAAGCTGCCCTGGGACCTCACAGCACGGGTCTTCTCACCCTGCTGCTCCAACACTATGGCAGTGGTGACTGCCTTGACTCACTCCCCAGGACCCATCCCAGCAGCCCCTGCTCTGGTTCAGCCCTTACCTTCCTGGACCAGCAGGCCTACCTCCCCTCTCCTGCTGCTTTTCCTCCCCTGACTTATCACCTCCCACCCTGCTCAGAGCCTGGCAGGGGTGGTCCTTTCCAGCCCCGTCACCTGAACTTCCCAGTACAGCACACTAGGCCCTCATATGGCCTCTGCTCTCTCTCCAATCAGCTGGAGAGCTTAAAAAAAATGGGGTGGGGGGTGAGGCTGGGCATAGTCCCAGTCCTTGGGAGCTGAGGCAGGCAGGTCTCAGGTTCCAGGCCAGCCTGAACAACATAATAAGACCTCAAAAAAGCCAAACAAAACAGCAACAGAAAAAAAGCCATGTCCAGGCCCTGCCCTTCACCATCAGCCCCTCCCGAGGGGCTGCTGAGCCTTGACGTGGCTGGTAGGACTAAAGAACACAGCTTTGAATTTTGGTTAGCTTTAATTAATTTAAGTAGCCACGTGTGACCAGTATTTGCCCCATTGAACAGGGCAACACTAAATACTCTAATGTCTTAGCGTTCATTAACTGCTACTTAGGCCCAAGATTCCTTTTCCTTTTTTTTTTTTTTTTTTTTTTAAAGCTTCTCTGGTTCTGCTACAGTGCAGAGCTGGTCTCCTCGAGGAGTGCCTCTTGCCCCCCCTGGTGGTAAAACTCAGCAAAGCTGATTGACCAGAGGCAAAGGGCTCTTCAATCGCACAGGGAGCCTAGATGCTCTGCTGCCCTCTGCATACCACTTCCTTTCATGCTTCTCTTCTTTCCTCCCTGTGCCTGGAGCAGGGGACTCCCAGGGTTGTACTCCAGTGGCCCTTCATTGCCAGGCCTGTCTTCTCCAGCCTGTCTTTGTTCCCATGCTGCCCATCTTCTCCCCAGGATCACCATTGTGTATGTGTGTGATCACAGGTGTGTCCCTGCGCCCCATGGTCCAGCCACTCTCCTTCCTTCAGTTCCTTGATCACACCAGGCTCTTATCTACCTTAGAACTCTCACCGTTGCTGTTCTTTGGGTCCAGAACATTCCATGTAGCCCCCTACAAATGAGGGGTTCAGATGTAGAAGTTTTTCTTCATGGCTGGTAAAGCAGGTGGGTGAGGCACAAAAGTCTCTGGGCCCCCAGCTTACTCAGCCAAGCAGATGACAGATCTGTGAGTGTCACATTCCAACATCTCCCTACAGTACCTGTTGGATCAGACTGATGTGTTGGTGGTTGGTGTCCTGGGCCTCCAGGGGACAGGCAAGTCCATGGTCATGTCATTGTTGTCGGCCAACACTCCAGAGGAAGATCAGAGGTGAGGGAGCATGGGTTGTGGGGTGGGTAGAGGGAAGCAGGTGGGACCTACTAGGGCAGGGCAGGAGGCCCATCTCTTTTAAGCAGTTATCACCAAAGGACTCTGAGAAGTTGTTCCTCCTCTCTGGGTCTCATCTTCACTAGATGAGGGTGATTATGTGCAGGACTAAATCTTATCTCCAAAGTAACCAGCCTGGTTCCTCCCACCCTCCTTCCCATCCTGCCTAGCTCCAGAAAATGGCACAGGCCCAGCCAGGAAGTTGGATGATGCAATCACCAGGGCTTTGGGTAGAGGCCTGCCTCAGGCTGAGCCCTGCTGTTTATCAGCTGGTGACCTTGGGCAGGTTCCTTTGCTTCCCAGTATCCCACATGCAAGTAGACTTGGGGAGGATGAAGTAGATCAGTAGATAACAAGCACTCAGCTCACAGGTGCTGGCTGAGGAGCTGAGAGAGAGAATGGGGAGGGGGATCTGCATCACTTCCATCTACTTTGTTACCTTGGGAAAATGACTCTGCCTTTCTGGGCTAGGGGGGACCAAACAGGAGATTCCCGGGCCTGAGCACCGTTCTTCAGTAAGGATGGGGTAAAGTCAGAGAAGTGGATTTGAAGGGGGAACCTAAGAAGTAGGGCCTGAAGCTAGGGGCAGAGAAGGAAGGGGAGGGAGGCAGGGTTTAGGGAATAGGGGCCTGTACTGTCTGGTTAAGGACGAATCATAGTGGGAGAGAGAAAGGGGTATCAGGGATAGTAAGTTACAGAGACTCACTCAAGTTGTCCACAGAAAACTTGTGTGGGGGCTGGGGGCAAGGCTTGAATGGTAGACCACTTGCCCAGCATGTGTACAGGCCCTGGGTCAATCCCTACTACCCCAAAAACAGGAGTGGGGGCTAATAAAGCAGGTAGTGTTATTGACAAAAAAGTCAAACCTTGGCCACAGCTAAGGAGTGGAGGACAGGACAGGTGACCCTTGGGCTCCATGGGTAGGCATCGGGAATCCATGAACCCCCAACAGTGTATGCAGAATTTTACACATGTCTACTGTTGGGCTTTTTCTTTTTTCTTTTTTTAAACTGGAAGTTTGAACTCAGGGCCTACACCTTGAGCCACTCTACCAGCTCTTTTTTGTAAAAGGTTTTATTTTGTTTTGAGATCGGGTCTCACAAACTATTTACCCAGGGCTGGCTTTGAACAGCTATCCTCCTGATCTCTGCTTCCTGAGTAGCTAGGATTCAGGCATCAGCCACCGGTCCCTGGCTAGTCAGGCTTTTTTGTTTGATTGTCTTCTATGAAACAGGGTCTCACCATGTAAGCCAGGCTGGCCTGTGGTGATGCTCCTGCCTCAGCCTCAGGCTTTTTTTTTTTTTAATAGGGAAAAGACCCATAGCATAGCTTTCACTAGCTCTCAGAGGAGGGACTGGAGGGCCAGAAAAGGTTGGAGGCACTGTTGAGAGAGTACATCTTCTCAGCTGGCACTGAGAGTCTCCTCTGCCCCTATCCTGGGTCTTCTCCATCTCTTCTGCTCTATCCACTCACAACCTAACCTCAGGTCAGCTCCACTTTGGAGAGTTCCACCTCTCAGATAGAGTTGCCATTCCAGCTCTCACCCACAGCTCTCATTCATCCTTCTGAGCTAGAGAATTCCATTGGCCAGCCACATCAGCCTGTGGCATGGTGGACTTTGGTACCAACTCTTTTCAGCTGGCCTCATAGGGCTTACCTCCTGGCTCTCCTTGTAGTCTCCTCTCCCTTTCTTAGTTCTCACCCCTGGTCTAAGCCATTGGTGTCACCCTTAGAAGGTGCCAGTGCCTCCCATCTGGTCTCTCAGCAAGCATTTATTGAATGCTTACTGTGTGCTTAGCACTGTTCTCGGTGCTAGTATACAAAACTGACAAAATCTGCCTCATGGGGCTTATTAGTAAGGAAGATTGTCAACAATATAAACATATTATTTGGCACATTAGAAGGTAACCAAAGGGAAGGAGTTATAAGAGGGTGGTGCTGGGTTTATGCTACAGTTTTAATAGAGTAATTAGGGAAGGCTTCGGTTAGGAGACATTTGAGGAAACTGGAGGAGGTCAAGAGCTGGCCCTGTGTGTGCAGGACAGCACGGGTTCAGAGCTCCATGTAGAGCGTTTATCTGGCATGCATCAGGCCCTGGGTTTGATCCTTACCATAGCAAGAAAAAAAAAAAAGAACATGAGGAGTCATAGGAGATGAGGTTGGAGAGGCAAAGGGCTCCCCTTGGTACTGGCTCAGTGAGCTGTTATCCATTCTTTCCACCCACAGTCCTTGTCACACAGCTGCAAGGGGAGCTTTTCAACCCAAAATTTGTTGTGTCACACCTCTACCTACCAGGGCCAAAGCCCTGCTCCTGTCCAAACTCTGCAAGGGCCTGTGCCTCTTCTTCCTGCCTACTGCCTTCCTCACCCCCGACCCATTCTTTTGTTTTTACCAGCACTGGTCTTTGTACACACCACTTCTCTTTTGCCCAAAATAGCCCTCTGCACCCATCCCCTGTCTCACACACACCCCACCTAACTGACCACTCATCTCTTTCACTCTCAGCATTGTCGTTCCCTTCTTCAGGATGGTTTTTCCCAGCTCCCCCTCGAGTGCTGTACACTTCTTCCAACACCCCAGTTGCTGGGTGACTTGTGAGCTAGACCAGAAGCTCTACGGGCTCAGCTGGGTGAAAGTAGAGATGTTGTCTGTTCTCTGCACCATCCTGGTGTGTGTCAGAGAGGAGGCTTTCAGTACAGTGTTATATTGAGTGAGAGAGTGCCCACTCTGGACGGGGCAAAGTACCCTACAGGAGGCAGGTTCTCTGGATAGTACAGGTTGAAAGATGTAAAATCACTATATCAAATCATAGAGCTGAGCTCTGGTTTATAGCAAGGCCCAGCTTTGCCTATCTTGTCCTCCTATTGCCAGCTCAGGCGGAAATGAAGGGGACTTGCTGAACACAAGAAGAACTAGGACCGCACTCCAAACTGTCCTTCATTGTGGGGTGGAGCACATTCATTGCTATGTCTCAGTGCCTAGCACATGGCAGGAACACGTACGTGGTGACTAATAGCTAACAGTTACATGTTACCATGTATTGTGCATTCTTGTAAGGGTTTGGCATATATTCACCTCACAGTAGCCCTAAAGTTTTGGCTACTATTGTTCCCCATTTCACAGGTGCAGTTACTACAGAGAAAGGGGTTAAGAAATTTGCCCAAAGCCATAGCCAGGAATACACAGTTCTTCAGCAGTCTGCCAGACTCTCCTCTTAAGTACCTCAGTCTCCTGGCTTCATTAGCTGAATTCTAATGAGTCCCCTCTGGGTAGGAGTGCAGCTGTGTGGTACAAGGCATGGCCCCCAGATGTGGGCCACAGGTGGAAGGCTTAGTGGGCAGGTGGGGAGCTGCACCTTCCCTGCTCTTTTCATGGGGTGACACTCTTCGGACATCAAAGGCCAAGAACCAGACTCTTACATCCCCACCTGTTCCTCTCCACAGGGCGTATGTTTTCCGAGCGCAGAGTGCTGAAATGAAGGAACGAGGGGGCAACCAGACCAGTGGCATTGACTTCTTTATCACCCAAGAGCGGATTGTTTTCCTGGACACACAGGTGCCAGCTCCCACCTGCTTCACCCTGCCGTGTTCGCGTTCAGCCCCGTCCTGGAGTACTTCCAGCCAAGCTATGGGTGTGCTGGGTGCCATCGGGCATGTCATGTCTTTTTTTGGCCCCTCGTCTCCTGTTCACCTCCTACACTGTAGTCTGAAGGATCCTGTAGCAGTGCCTTAAGGTGTGGGACTGAACTCTGTCTGCATCCTTCCCTTTAGTTCTAAACCATCTGGGTGACTTTAGGTCTTAACTCCCTTACACCTCAGCTCTTCACTGATCATTGGGGATGAAGGCTGTACTCAGCCTCCTAGAATTCTGACCAGTTCAAGCAAAATTCAGTGGACCTGTCCAAGCAAAGTGTTTGGCTCAAAGCTAGCACGAGGTTAGTGCTCAGGCTGACCCCTCGTGTTGGAACTGGCCCGTTCTGCGTTCGCCTGTGGCTTTGCTCCACTTCTCCCTTGCTCCCAGACATAGCTCCAGTTCCTCCACCTGGCGTTGAGGGGTGCAGTGTCGCTCCTTCAGTCTGTCGTCACCCTCTCTGGAGTCCCACACACAGGTCCTCACCATGCACCCTTGCCTCTCTGGGCTTCCCATTCCTGTTCTCTTACCTGAAATCATCATGAGCTGGGCAACCTTGGTCAGGCTATGTAACATTTCCAGCCCTTGGCATTCCTAAGGGGAAAATAACACTGGCCACCTTCTAGGGCTTTGTGAATTTCCAGAGTTAGCAGAGTCCTGATGAGAGTGCCTAGAACTCCTAGCCATTAGCATTGTTGTCAGTGGAGTCTTCTTCTCTTCTGTCTGGCTGCCTGGCTAGCGCCTTCTCCACTGGGGGAAGCCCTGCCCCTCTCTGAGGCACCTCCCACTGCAGCATGGGGTTTGCCATGTGAGTGCTCCCACTCCCCACCTGCCTGGCACTCCTCAGGGCACAGTCTGCCCATAGTGACTAGTTATACTCAGGAACAGAGCTCTGGTCTCTGAGCATTGATGACACCGAGAGGGGAAACCTACAAATGCCAAGGTGAGTCTGTGTGCCAGGCCCTGTGCAGGGACCACCAGGACCTGGAGACAAGCCAGCCTGGCTGTGCGATAAGCCAGAGGCCTGTGAGGAGAGAAAGAAAATTAACAAACAGGACAGAACAGAGCCCTGCTAGGTGTCTGTGTTCAGCGGAACAGTTTAGGCAAAGAGTTTGGCCAAAACCTGGCATGAGGTTTGCTCTGGCTGCTCAGAGCTGTAGAGATCGAGCAGTTGGAAAAGCCTTTTCTGAAAATTCTGCTCAGTGCGGGAAGAAGCAGGAAGATTGTCGGCCTAATTTAGCTGCGGCACTTCTCAGTTGAACACTCCTTGAAGCAAAGCTGGTGAGCTCCCCAGTACGGGCACTGTATAGTTCTGAAATCCTCACCAATTCCACGCTAATCGTCTTTGACCTACATAATTATCTTAGCAAAGCTTTGAAAGCATTAAGAAACAACAAACAGCAAAAGGCAGCTTTAAGAGGTGTGACTCACTCAAGTGAGTCCTAAACTTATTATCATTAGGAGATGGTGCTGGACAGCAGCAAGGATTTGTAAAGGAGCTGGGGAAAAGTGTCTGTTTTGGAAGTTTTGTTTTAGTTTCTTCTCACTGACTGGTACTGGACTAATTAGAAGTTGTTTGCTTGTGTTTCTGGCCTTGCTTTGTCCTGAGACAGGCAGTGCATTTGCCTTCAGCGGGTGGAACTTGGGTAGCCACAACCATCCCTTCCCCCATGTAATCTTCTCTCTCTTGCATCATTCAGCCCATCCTGAGTCCATCCATCTTGGACCATCTCATCAATAATGACCGCAAACTGCCTCCCGAGTACAACCTTCCCCACACCTACGTGGAGATGCAGGTGAGGGAGCTGAGCCAGGCCCATCCAGGGGCCCGAGCCTCCCAAGATTTGCCATGAGGAACTGAATATAGTTTCTTCTTCGTAAGAGCCCTGCGTGCCCCAAAGGCTGCAGGGAGAGGACAGCAGTGAGAGTCTGGTCTGGTTCAACTTCTGGCCCTGCTCCTCCCCCTTCAAGGCTCAGCATCCTCCCGGATAAAATGGGGTGCCACTCCCACCTTGCTTCATTTGGGGCTCAACACGCAGTAGGAGCTGGAAGGCTCTGTGGCCTTGTCCTGCTGCTCCTTCAGTGAAGTCCTGCACTCGGGAACCCGGGTCTGGGAGGAGAGCCCCTCAACTCTGCTGTCCTCTCCTGCAGTCACTGCAGATTGCTGCCTTCCTCTTTACCGTCTGCCATGTGGTGATCATCGTTCAGGACTGGTTCACCGATCTCAGTCTGTACAGGTGAGGAGCTGGGCTGGGAGAGTAAGGCAAGAGACGGTCCCACTGGCCCAAGGTGTCAGTGCACACAGCAGCCAGAGGGACCCTTTTGAGATGTGAGTGGGAGTGGAGTCCCCACCTAAGTCCCCTCAATTCACACACTTAGGGAATTGTGTGTGTGTGTGTTCAGAGTAGCATGCAGAATCCTCCCTGTGCTGCCTGGCAGGGACCAGGGACTCTTTGCTGATCCCACCCCTCCCCCACCCCCTTTCCCTCACTCCCTCCATTACAGCAGAGCGGCTGGGCTGTCCTTCTGCAGCTCTGGACCTTTGCATGCCTATTCCCTTAGCTGGGGACATTTTGCACAGAGACTCCTTCTGTCCTGCTGTTCTGCTGCCCTTCCCTGCCGTCCCCCATAGCATCCTATCACTCCTTCCTTCCACTGCGCTTCCTCTGTTCACTTGTCACGCACACACCCACAGGCCCTGTCCATCTCTAATGACCTCTCCCCATTACAGTGCCAGCAGCAGGAGGGCAGGGCCCAGCACCTCCTACAGTGACCATACCAGGTAGAACTGAATATGAATTCTGACTGGATGGCACAAGGACTAGGCCTATCTGGTCCTTTTTAGGTTTGGTAGGAAGAGAGGCGGGTGCGCCTGGAGGAGCCATGCCTGGGCAACTTCAGGCCCAGGGCCTGGGCAGAAGAGGAGGGAGTACTGGGATTAGGGAGCACATGTCCCCAAAGTCAGACGGCTCTGGGTTTGAATCCCAGCTCTGGTTGGAGTGTACTTGCCTCTCTGTGGTTTGTCATCAGCAGAGCTGTTCTGTGCAGGTGGGGTAAGCTAAAAAGTTGAAAGCTGTTCCAGTGTTGTGCCTGCCCCCGAGAGCAGCTGACAGACTGTTCGTATTAACACTGGACATGGGGGTGAGCCAGGGAGCAGGCTGCTTGTGACCATTCCTGAGCAACTTAACTCTGAGAACCCCTCCTACGGCCACCCACTGGGATCTATCCACATACCAAGTATACAGAACATCTATCTGCATGTGCCAGGCACTGGGAACGCAGGTGTGAACAAAACAGATAAGACCGACTGCACTTGCAGAGTTTCATTCTGGCAGGGGTATGGGTTGGGGGAGGCGCATGGCAGAGCTGTGTTTTGAAGCCACTGTCTGAAGGTGGGCCTTGAAAGTGTGGATGATGTGCTTAGATAATAGGTTTATTTTGTTTAATTTTACATACTTGGAAGAATTACTTTAAAATAGCATAAACTGAACGTGTGTCCACATAAAAACCCATGTGCAGATATTTATAGCAGCTTTATTCATAACTGCCAGAACTTGGAAGCAACCAGAGTGTCTTGCAGCAAGTGAATGGCTGAAGAAGCTGGGACACCCAACAATGGTGTATTATTCAGTGCTGAAGGGAAATGTGGTACTGAGCCGTGAAAAGACACGGGGGACCACAGTGCATCTTACTGAGTGAGAGAAGCCCGTGTGAAAAACTGACACACTGTGTGACCCAACTGTATGACATCTAGAAAAGGCAAAATATGGGGTGGGGCAGGACAGGGGAATGGGTAGGCAGAGCACAGAGAACCTGTGGGCAGTGAACACTGCTCTTTGTGATGCTGCTGTGGTGGGAGCGTGTCGTGTGTCTGTCCAAACTGGAGAGTTTGCACCAGCAAGACAGAACCCTAACAGGAGTGGTGACTTAGGGTGACAGGATGTCTCCGTGTAGGTTCAGGTGGGACAAGAGCACCCCTGCTGTGGCGGGGATGTCGGGAGGCTGTGCATGTGAGGGCAGGAGGTGTATGGGAACGTGCTTCTTGCTGCTCAGTTTTGCTGTCAACCTAAAACTGTTCTAAAAAATAAAGGCTTTTTTGTTTCTTTTGAGACCCAGGCTGATCTCAAACTCCTAGGCTTAAGCGATCCTTCCGCCCCTCAACCTCCCAAGTACTGGAACTACAGACGCACTGGAACTACAGACGCAGTCCTCCACACTCGGCCTTTTTTTTTTTTGGTGGCTCTGGGGTTTGAGCTCAGGGCTTCTTCATTAGACAGGCACACTCTACCGCCTGAACCACTTTGCCAGCCCTTGTTGCTCTGGTTATTTTAGAAGTAGGGTCTTGCTTTTTGTCCAGGCTGGCCTGGACCTCCATCCTCTTTAGGCTTCCCAATGTCACTGGAATAATAGGCTCATGCCACCACACCCAGCTTTCTTTCTTTTTCTGTTAAGATGGAGTCTCAGGTTTTTGGTTTTATTTATTTATTTATTTTTGCACGAGTTGGCCTGGAACTGTGATCCTGTTGATCTCAGCCTCCCAAGTAGCATGAGCCACTGATGCCTGGCTTCCAGCTATTTTTTAATGAGGTAAAGTCATTAAATTTGCACAGTTCTCATTAGTCCAGGACTGGTGTTGGGACAGCTTTTTGAACTCTCAAACATTGTATGAGAAATACAACACATTCGTTTCTTTCTCTGAGCATGGTCAAGGCTTTCGTGAGCATCTCCAGGGGGAGCCCCCACCCAGGCTATGGAACTGAGGGCCCAGATGTAGAAGCATCAGTCTCTCACGCCCCACCCCCAGGTTCCTGCAGACAGCGGAGATGGTGAAGCCCTCCACCCCATCCCCCAGCCACGAGTCCAGCAACTCCTCAGGTTCCGATGAAGGCACCGAGTACTACCCCCACCTGGGTGAGAGCCGTTCTGGGGTAGAAGCCAGGAGCACCCTGAGGAAGTGGGGAGAAGGGGGAATCTGAGGAGGGAAACCGGAAAGCATCTGCTGCCTCTTGGGTTCCCATACTTCCCTGATCAGAACAGGCGGAACCAGGCTTCTTTCCCTGGCTCAAGGAAAGAAAAGTGCTAGGTTGAGCCGAGTGACCCTGGAGCACCTGTTCTGCCTCCCCACCTACTCTTCCTGTGCCTGTGATGTCCTGCTCTGCTACATTTATGACCCCCCGCCCAGCCCTGCCCAGGAAGGGTCTCCCTTACCTCCTCTGGTCTCGCTGCATCCCTCCTGCCTCCTGCACTGCTACTGACCATGTAGCCATCTTCCTCATCTGTCTTTTCCATCACCCAGGGCTCCCAGAGGGCAGAAACCAAGTCTGCCTTGCCACTGGGTCCCCAGTATGGCCCTGCACAGGGCCTGGGCTAAAGCAGAGTTACACAAACATTGATGCAGTGATCAGAACTCAGGGAGGGAAGCGGGAGCCCATGAGGCCAAGCATTGCCGGCCTCATGGCCTGTGGCCCCCTCAGTCTTCCTGCAGAACAAAGCTCGCCGTGAGGACTTCTGCCCACGGAAGCTGCGCCAGATGCACCTGATGATCGACCAGCTCATGGCACACTCCCACCTGCGCTACAAGGGTGAGGCCCCCACACTGCCTCCAGACTGGCCAGCAGCCTCTACTTCCCCCCACACACACCTCCAACCGCAGCACGGTGCCTGCAGCCTGCCACGCTCTCTCCTCCAGGTACCCTGTCCATGTTACAGTGCAACATCTTCCCCGGGCTGCCACCTGACTTCCTGGATTCCGAGGTCAACCTGTTCCTGGTGCCCTTCATGGACAGTGAAGCAGAGAGCGAGAACCCGCCAAGAGCAGGTGCATGTCTCCCTCCAGGACATGTGGGCTCCAGCCTGACCCCAGGGAGGTAGGGCCGGGGCTTAACTCTGAGGTGCCTGCCCCGATTTTCCAGGGCCGGGTTCCAGCCCACTATTCTCCCTGCTTCCTGGGTACCGGGGCCACCCCAGTTTCCAGTCTTTGGTGAGCAAGCTCCGGAGCCAAGTGATGTCCATGGCACGGCCACAGCTGTCACACACAATCCTCACCGAAAAGAACTGGTAAGAGCTATCTGTAGGGATCTGTTTGAGATGCCCACCCTTGTGCAGACTGAAGGGGCTCATGCCTTGGGTTCTTTTCCTAGGTGATGGTGGCTGCACTGTCTTGTCAGCTCCTCGCCCATGCCAGGCAGCATCTGTTTCCTGACACCTCAATCCTTCTGGCTAGCCAGTGGTCTGGAAATTCTGTCAAATTTGTCTGGTAGCAATTCAGGCTCAAAGAAAAGTACCAACAGCAAGGAGGCTCCTGTGGTTAGGGGCCAATTGATAGGTGGGAGAAGAACCAGCTGGTTAAGCATGAGGATTGATTCCAAGGTCGTGAGTGGCAGAACCTCACAGGAGATGGGGATCAGAGCCAGCAGGAACCACAGGAGTTGCGCTCTCAGCTTTCCTCTCAGGGGCTCTGTCTTACGTCCCTCTATTATCCTCCTTCCCTGTTTTGGCATGGTGTTGCACCACTTTCCTGCCCCTGCTTCACCTGACGCCTGTGTCCAGAGTCCACAGCAAACAGGTCTGGGCTGTCTCACTTCATTTCAAAGAGAGACAGATTTGAAAGAGAACGTGTGACTTGGTGTGGCCTCTTTACTTGACTCCCTGGGGCCTGTTTAGAGTGGCTGTGGCCAGGGACTGGGAGTACAGACAAGACAGCAGGAAGCCACTGCAGGCTGCTGGGCAGAGCTGAAGCTGAGTCTGTTTGAGCCCAGCCATGCTCCTCCCATTGCTCAGAACTGGGGCCCAGTAGGAGGGGAGGAGCTGGAAACACTAAGGCTGGACAAGAAACTGCTGGCTGCTTCCCCACCACACACTGAGGGGAAGTGGAGGCAGCTCTCCTCCATGGAGCCTCCACGTGGGGCTTGGGTCTTTGTCCATGCCCAGTACCTCTAGCTGAGCTTCCTGGGTGAGATGAGAAGCAGGACCTTTCCCATCATGGTTGGTGTCTTTCATCCCAGTCAGGGCCTCTGGGCTCCACGTGGCTCCAGGTCACACACTGGATCAAACACAGGCCTCGGTCTCCCACCTGTCCCAGGCGATTGCTAGGCTAGGTGAGCCCCCTGCAGTGCCAGACCTACCTGACTGCTGTTCTCTCCCACAGGTTTCACTATGCTGCCCGAATCTGGGATGGTGTGAAAAAGTCCTCTGCCCTGGCAGAGTACAGCCGCCTGCTGGCCTGAAGCTGAGGGGAATACGCCATGCAGGGACACGCAGGGCCGCCAGTGGGCAGTGAGGGAGCACATGCAACCTTCCCCTGGCAGCATGCAGAGTGGCAGCAGGCCCCATGGACGAGGGATCGTGGCTTTCCCGCCCAGAGAAAGCATGAGATGTCCAGGGCCAGGCCCCCACCCTCAATTGGAGGGCTGTTCAAGGGGTGACATTAAGAGATCCCACCCCCAACCTGGGATGGGCAGCCCATCCCAAGTCGTCCCCCACAGGGACGGGCAGTGGGAGGAGTCTGAGTGGTCCCCAGGAAGCCTGACCCCATCTGGACCTTGTGCTTCAGGGGCAGGAGCTGCAGGTCCCTCTCCCCAACTCCACGCCTTCCCCAAGAGGCTTGGTGGGGTCTGGAGAGCTCCTGGTTGGGACACATCTGGTGGTTCAAATAAACAGTTGTGCAAGCCTGCTCGTCTCCTCTTCTGTGTCCCCCACCCTGGGAAACCCGGCCGATTGTCCTCGGCCCCCCTTGGCACCTGATCACCATCTCTCAGGGGTCTGAGGAGCAGATAGGGACCTGCGTCAGCTAGGAGGAAGCCCCTGAAAAGGGCCAGTCACCTTCCTTCCCTGTGTTTCGGACAGAAAGATACATGGTGCGGTGGAGTACAGTGACCCCATGACAGTGCCTGCCCGTGAGTTAAATGCAATGGCTGTTTTGATCTAAAAACGAGAGCTTGCCCTTCTTTCAAATACCTTACTTACCTTTGCAGACAGCGCCTGCTATTGGATTCTTCCCTGAATATGAGCCTCACCTGCTCTTGCTCAGATTCAAAGGCTGAGCTCACTCTCATACCACCCAGTGGACGGCCAACCCTCATCCCTCAGCTCAGTCCAGCCTGTAGCTCAGTCCAGCATTGCTCATAGTTTCTCTGCAAATCGCTCTCGCCACCCCAAACTAGTCTTTACCCGCAGGTCATGCCAGTGGTCCATTCTAGAGCAGCTGAGCCTCTTCTGTCTGCCTTGTCTCCCTGGCTATGCCTCTCAGGCCTGTCCAGTCCTGGTGTCCATTGGGGATCCTGGGGCTTCTTAAAAGAATGCAACTGAAGAAGGGGAGTAGAGGACAAGCCGAAAGTGGGGAGTCCATGCAGGATTCCAGAGAGAGCAGGGCTAAAGTCCCCTGGCTCCTTTCTCCAGCCATTACCCCAACATTTTGGTGATCTGCAAGGCCCCTCAGAGCTGGGGCCCTCTGACAAACACTTCTGAATCATTTATCCCATCCCCCAATCTGGGCAGAAACCCTCCTAACTGCCTTCTCCAGCTGGATAACTGAACCCTTCCCTGTCAAACCTATGCCCTAAGCCAAGTAGGGTGGTGCATGCCTGTAATCCCAGCACTCAGAAGACTGAGGTAGAAGGATCAAGAGATCCAGGCCAGCTAGAGCTACATAGCAAAATGAAACCATCTCAAAAAACCAAAAACCAGTGGGGATTATGCCTGTAACTCTAGCTACTCAGAAGGCAGAGATCAGGAGGATCGCAGTTTGAGGCCAGCCGGGGCAAATAGTTCGTGAGACCCTATCTTGAAAAATCCAACACAAAAAAAGGGCTGGTGGAGTGGCTTAAGTGGTAAAGCACCTGCCTAGCAAGTGTGAGGCCCTGAGTTCAAACCCCACTGTCACCAAAAACCATATACCATGCTATCCGGGGTGGGGAGGGGGGTGTCTGCTGGTTAACTTGGGGATGGTGGCCAGAGAAGGGCAAAGAAAACACTTGGCACACAGGTTCAATCCACAAAGAGTTGGATTTCCATCCAAGAAAGGATGAGCTGGAGTTTCTTCCTTTCTATCCCCTAGCACCACGGAGCCTGGGGACAGATAGAGCTGTGTCCTCCCAGCCTCCCCTGCCGTTTCTGCTGGCCGGGTCTCAGGATTGGATTCACCTAGGGTCTCCTGGCAGAGGATGAATCAGCAGGTGTTGGCTGTCACATCCAGGGCATCCGGGAGGTGGTGAGGGACAATGCAGGATGCCCAGGACGGCGAGAGCGGAGGCTGCTCTGGGAGCCTGGCCCAGCGTTCCCATCACCAGCGCCTTGGTGACTGGTGCATGGGCCGGTCCCCCCCCACCAGGATGTTGCTCCGGCAGCTTGACAGAAGACAGATGTGGCAGTGGCTTTCCAGGAAGCTGGCGTGTGTGCAGGTGGCAAGCCATACCCTGAGGGCAAGCACGGGACTGAGGTTGATGGTGCAGGACGTGGGTGGCCACCAGGCACGTGTGCTTCCAAGCAAGGGCTTCCAGCTGGCGGGCATGGCCACCAGCAATGCTGCTTGTGCTCTGGTTCCTCATCGTCCCCTCCAGCCAAGGAAAGGAGCCCTTGCCCAGTTCACCCATGGAGCACAGGGCGACCTTGGATTCCTTCCGTCATCCACGGCAGGAGGCCCCACTCAGGTTCCACACTGGCATGGGTATGGCACATGGCGCAAGGGTGTCAGCGCTGGAGCCAGGCTGCCTTCATTCAGGTGCCAGCCTTGCTCCCTGTGTGGCCTTAGGCAAATTATCAAACCTCCCTGGGCTTGTTTTCCTGCCTACAAACAAGGTGCAAAAATTGTGCCCTTGCTGAATCTGCATTGAGCACACAGTGTCTGCTCCACTCTAACTTTGCAAATACATTTTTCTGCCCTTTCTCTTCCCCTTTCTTTTCTTTCACTGAGTAGCCCAGGCTGACCTGAAACTCATGATCTTCCTGCCTCTACCTCCTGAGTGCTGGGATTACAGACATGCACCACCATGCCCGGCTCAGCCCTTTTTTAACTCAAATGGTTCTCTTGTCACAAGAGCCGTCAGGAAATGGCTGCTGTGAGCAGCGTTGTACTGTGGATCCTGGTTCCGTTACAGTGTGGCCCAGGGAACCCCTTTGCCCGCTTTGGGCCCTAGCCAGAAGATGAAGCAGTCCTTCAAAGGTCCTTCCTCCCCATGCCCCAGAGCCTGGACCTGCCCCTCCAGCTACTGCCTGTGGGGGATGACTCAGACCATCCAGGATCCGCCTGAGCACTGTCCTCAGGGAAGGTGTTGGGCAATGACTGAGGGAGGCAGCAAAGTTGAGGCCTACCTGGGAGTGAGGGACGGCAGAGCACGGGCCCTCACTGCAGACCCAGCTGGCCTAGCTGGCTGTGAAATGAGCTGCTGTGAGGATGACACAGGTAGCACCATCCAGCAGCCCCCACCAGGTGGGGGTGTCTACACCCAGTCAGCAGGCCCTAGATGGTGATTCGGGGTGCCCGGAGAGCAGCTGGAGTGTGGAGTCTACAGTTGGCTCCTCCACACCACACAAGCTGAGCCTGGATCCTTGTTTCCCAGCCCCGCCATGGTGATGACACAAGTCAGTGTGCCTGCACCTGTCCCAACCAATGTCCAGCAAGTGTGGCCCATACTGGTCACTACTGGCAGGTTCACCGCCTTGAAAGCCTGGTCTCCCCCAGCTGCATCAATAGCGCCAATGTGTTGACCTGGCTGAGGCTGGGCTAAGCTTTACTGGCCAAGACTTCCTGACCTACCAGGGCTTGGTCTTCAGAATTTGACCTTCGATGGGACAGGTAAAGGAATATGTTCTCATAGCCAGGCGTGATGATGCATGCCTGTAATCCCAGCTACTTGGTGGTGGGGTCAGGAGGATCTCAAGGTCAGGCCAGCCCAAGCAAAGTCAGCGAGACTCTGTCTCAAAACACAAAAGGTTTGGGGTATAGTTCAGTGGTTGAGCACTTGCCAATGTGTGCGAGGCCCTGGGTTCCAACCTCAGCACCACAAGAGAAAGAATTATATTTTCTCAGTTTCCCTTCTCTAGATATCTCTGCATGTCAATCATGCTTTTAATATTAATGACAAATGCCTTCTTGGCATCCACTTTCAGACCTGTCATAAGTTGTTTGAAAGCCACTTGGAACTTGTCACCTTGGCCGAGGTAAAGCTTCCCCTGCTCTGTGGTTGAAGCACGACCCACTTGTTCCTCACCTCACTGACCCACAAGCCAACACATCCCAAAGCGCGGTAAAACAATGCAAATCAGTTCTCTCTTCAAGCAGGTTTTAGGCCATCCACAGCACCCTCAGGATAAAGCAAATGGACCTTGATAAATGTATAGTCCCACAGGCAGCGTCTCTCTCCTCGCTTTCCCTCTCACCAATTAAAAAGAAACCATAAAATAAAAATCAAGCCAGGCATGGCAGTGCACACCTATAATCCCAGCACTCAGGAAGCAAAGGCAAGAGGATCACAGTTGGGAGGCAGCCTGGGCTACACTGTGAGACAACCCTGCGCCAGCAGGACAGAGGCCAGTTCTCTCAAGTCCTTTTTGTCATACAAACCCCTCTACTGCACATGCTTAGGCCTCTGAGCCCAGTCATCCCAGGCCTGAAGGAAGCAGCCCAATGGGTCCGTTGTGTTTGTGGAAATGTCCACCCTCACTGCCCAGCTTCTGAGCACCTTGTCTGTTCAGAACCGGGGTGCACAGCGAGGCAAGCCCAGCCCTGCCTTTGGGACTTGACCTCACCAATATCATGGCCAGGGAAAACCAGTGCAGACACAACCATGTCTAATCCCATCCGTGCCAGGGACTTTTGGGTGACATCAGGCAGATCCTGTCCCCACTGTGGCCTTTATTTCCTTTTTCTGCAAAGGGTAGGACAGGCTGTAGGGGACAGGTCCCTTCCTTGTTTTGTTTTGGTTTTTGGCAGTACCAGGATTTGAACTCAGGGCCTTGCATCTACTAGGCAAGCGCTCTACTACTTGGGCCATATCCCTAGAGGATCCCTCCTTTATTAAATGGAGAGTTAACTCCACAGAGCACTCCCAGTTCTGCTGGCTTAGGAAGATCCAGCTTTCCTGTGGTCAGGGTTCAGGCCGAGGTGAGCTGGGGAAGGGTCTGGAATTTCAGGCTGGACCACTTGATCATGGAAGGTTCAAGTAGGCGAGAAAAAAATGGGCAATGAGTGTGGAGTCCAGAAGCCAAAGCAGGAGCCTGGGGCTCTTTGCCGTATGGAGAGAGCAAGGCCTGAATTGAGGAGGGCTGAGGGGCTCTGGATGGGGGCCGAGAGAGGAAGAGATGGAGGCAAAGGGACAAAATGCAGGAACCAGCTGGCTGTGGGGGGGAAGAGGAGGGAGAAGACAACCTCTCAAACCTGAGGCCCAGTGTGGGGAGCATGCCATATCTATTCCTGACCTTTCTAGCCCTGCCCCGCGTGGGGCCAGGGCATCTTGAGTTTGGAACGACGTCACAATGTCCACGGGGCCTGGGCTGGTTAGGAGCGTGGATTTGAAGGGACCACCTGGGGGGTCTGGGATTTCTCTACCATGATCCTCTGTACCCCCTTTGGTGCATGAGAGGGGTGTCCTTTTGCAAAAGGAATCAGCACCCTTAGTAACCCCAACGTAAGAGTGGAGCCTGAGTCTGGAACGGTTTCCTAAAGTCGAGTTATTTGGGGTTAGAATTCCCAGATCCCTGAGCACCTAAGGGTGAAGCCAACTCCCTGGTGCCTCCATCTGCCACCCGCCACCAGCCTCCAAAGCCTCCTTGGCTGTGTTTTCCTAGCTTCTTCTGTACCACCACAATGGCAGAGGCAGAGCCTGGGAGAGGACTTGACTCCCTGTTATGGCTTCCTCCTAGACAGCAGGGGAAGCCAGGCACCCAGGACACTCTCCAAGGGAGGTCACTTCATATTTCTGCTCCTGTTGTAGCTGAAAGGTGAGCCTCCCTCACCTGCCCTGGCGCCTGAATCTCTTCCCAACCTGCAGTGCTAAGCCAGGTGTTCCAATCCCATCCATTTTCCCCTGGCCGTCTGTGCCCTGGCTGTGAACCTGAGCTTTCAGCCTAAACTGCACACCCTCCCCCTCCCCAAGACCCCCAGGCTCAGGAGGAAGGGCTCTTCTCCACTCAAACGTTTCTAGGCCATTCTGAGCCCGCCATGCTGGGCAGCAAGTCAGCTACTGGTGTCCCCCCAAGCCTCAGGAAAGCGGTGGCAGGTGCCACTGGTTCAATCACCAGTCCTGTCCCAGCCCGGTGAGCTCCAAACTGGAAACCCAGCTCCCGAATGCACAACCCTCCCCTCCCACCCTTGGCCTGGCCCACAGCAGCCCTAGGGCCCACCCTGGTCCTATCCACCACCACTCCCAACCTGGTAGTTTAATTTTTTAAACACGTGACCCTTCACTGAGCACAGAAGAGCTCAGGCTTGGGAAGGCGTGAGTTTGAATCCCTTTTGCACCCGCTGATCACCACCAGGAGCCGAGCATAGTGTCAGTTCCTAGTGAGTGGCTCAGGATGGTCTCACTGGGACACTTAGCCTCGCCCTCTTGTGTTGCACAAGTCACAGTGACATGCCGCTTTCAGACTCCACCCTAGCCCCCACCACACACACACACCCCCATTCTCAGTCCTTCAGCATTTAGCTGGGATATGAAGTGTCCTGCCAAAAGGTTCACGTGCTGAAAGCTTGGTCCCCAGTGTCGTGTTCACATGCGGGGCTTTGGGGAAGTGACTGGATCATGAGGGCTCTGACATCATCAATGCATTAACCCACGGATGGCCTGTGATTGGATATGGGAGGTGGCAGACACTGAAAGGTGGGGCCTGATTGGAGCAAATGGGTCCTTGGGGGCGTGTCTTTGAGGGGAGTAGCCCCATCCTCGCCTCTTCCTGTGTCTGCTTCCTGACACCATGATGTGACAGCCGCCTCTGTCACATGTGTGCTCCAGCCGCCATGATGATCTGACTCACCACAGACCCATAGCAGTGGAGCCAAAATAAGTCCTTTGTCCCTTACGTTGATTTGCACAGGTATTTTTGTCACACTGATGAAAAGTGACTAACATACACAACTGCGTAGTGACAGGTAACCCCAAACTTGGTGACCAGCTCAAGAGTCCTAGACACACTGAATCAAAATCAGGCAGACTTACAAAATTTGTCCCACTCAGTCACACCAGAAACTCACTCACATCAGGGAGACACCAACTTGAGAGAGATTCAGTTTGGGCTATGGAGTTGTGCCCTTGGCCTCACCTCTTTTTCAATGTTCATGGGAGCCATCCACTCGCACTGTCACCCCGGTCTCATTGTGCCTTCCCCACACTGAGGGGAGTCCCAGGCAGTGTGGCCTCTTCTTCCTGGCCACCCCCACCCTGCCATCACTCCCAGGCAGCCAAGCAGGCCCAAATTTGTCCCCCACCTCTCTGTAACCCCGTTGCTAGGCACCATTGTGCCAGTCCCAGCCACCCACTGATTGGCTGCCTCTAGAGGGACACCAAGGTCGAAAGGGACATGGGATTGAAACTTCAGTAGCATACTTGAGGCCCTGGGTTCCATCCCCAGCACCTAGTCAGGACCCAGTCACCAATCTGCTACCCGCAGCAGTTGACAGTTGTCTCCTGTCTGGAAACCAGATTGTGTTGTCCTGCCACACAAGTCCCCCTGGGCCCACCAAGCGCACTGTGCCCTCTCCCCCAGGGTCAACCTACCCCACCTGTGCCCTCTTGTCCCTCTACGAGTCAGAGCATACACACATGCATGACTCAGCCAAGGCATCAGGCTCGTCACCCCCCTCCAGGACCTTCCCCCGACCCCAGCCCTCAGCAATGGCAGTTCTGGTTTCACCACACGGGCCTGGTTTGGTTGCTTGATTGGTTTTTAAGGCTTGGTTTGTGGGGGAGGCGGGGATGGGGCTGCACTTTTATTTCTCTTCTGACAAGTCACGTTTCTTCCAGCTGTCGAGAATGTACTTGAGGAGGAGGCCGAGCTTTCGGCGGGCCGAGAGTGGGGCTTCCTCGCTGCCTCCTCCCTCCCCAGGTCCCCGCTTTTCCACGCCACTATCACCAGCCGCCTCCAAGCTGACCTCCGTCTGGGGCTCGTCCTCCTCCAATGCCTTGATGCGGACTCTCTGGGCGTCCTCGGCCATCTCGTTGAGGCAGCCTTGGAGCATGGTGTAGATGGTGCCAAAACTGATGCCACCAGCCACCAGGGTACCGAACACAGGGATCCCCCTCTCAAAGGCCCGGGCCACCCGCATGGCGCCATCGGAAGACTGGGAGTAGAGCCTCAGGACGGTCTCAGGCGACACCTCGTTAGCCAGCGGGGAGCGGATGACCGAGCGCAGGTCACCTGCCTGTTTGCCCACCTGCTCGGCCAGCTTGGTCAGCGAGTCGTCGTCTAGGCCAAAGCTGCGGTGATAGCCACGCAGAGAGCGGATGAGCAGGGCATCATCGTAGGCGGCCGCCAGCCCGGGCACGGGCAGGGCCTGGATGACCCCGGACACCAGGGCCGTCTTGAGCACCTGCTCCTGTAGCATGTCCTTCTTCTTTTGCAGAGCCTCCAGCGAGATGTCGGGCAGCGACAGCAGGCCAGCGTGGCGCCGGTGGGCGGGGAGGTCGTGCTCCCAGGTGGACACGAGCATCGGGAAGTCGTAGCGGGCTGGTGACAGGTTGGACACGAGGAAGATGCGGGGTTCGTTCAGGCCGGCTGCCCGCAGCCGCTCGGCACAGTGATCCCGGATCTCCTGCAGGACAGCGGCCTCACTGAAGCCCGAGGGCCTCTGGGTGCGGGTGGCCGCCAGGTCCTCGTCCACCTTGGTGCGCACGAAGTAGAACTTCTTGCCCTGGCGCAGGATCTCCGAGGCCAGGCGGGCCTCCACGGCCCCGCAGCGCCGGGGCGACACGAGCAGGAAGAAGTCATAGCGGCCGAAGTCCACCTGCTTCAGGTACTTGTCAGCGGGGCAGCCCGGAGAGCCAGCCCCTGGCAGGTCCCACAGAGTCACATCAGGAAACTGCGGGTGTGGGTAGGGCGAGGGCTGCATTGTGGTCTCCACGACACCCGTGAGAGCTGCGCCAGGGTCCTCGGCCCCCAGGCCACGGAGGGCATTGATGAGAGACGACTTGCCAGCCCCCGACTCACCCGTGACGCCCACCTCCAGCCGGGTGGTCTCCGAGGAGGCCAGCAGCTCTCGGAGGCGGGAGGCGGCCTGGGGGATGTCGCCAGACTCGAAGGCGATGCGCAGGGCCTCCAGCTCTTCCTTGGCCATGAGGATGGTGGTCTCCTCCTCCCCGGGTACCGCGGGCAACTTGGAAGTGGCCATGGTGACCAGGGGTTTTAGAGCACGGCAGGGGACGGGGGAGAGTCACAGGACGCGTGATCCTCAGCGTCTGTGGAGGAGAAGGGGCTGGTTCGCACCTCCTGGGCCTTGGTGTGACACAGGGAGAGACTCGCAGAGGTGGAGAGAGCCCAAAGCTTTCTCTTCCTCAAGAACCCGGGCACATTTGCCATGAGTTATGGAACTTTGGAGTCCCAAAAACCCAGGTTCACGCCTCGTCTCTGCCATTAACTTGCTGTGTGACCTGGAGTAACGTGACGCACCTCTCTGTGCCTGTTTACGTCTATGCACCTGCATAGGAAAGGGCTAAGTCCAGCCCCTGCCTGTGGCCCAGGCCCAACCAGAGATGGGCTGAACTCCTTATCACCGCTGTTACTGGGAGGCAGCGTGAAGTGACGGTGAAAGGGACTCAGGCCCAGGGCAAATCCTGGCTCTGCCAGATTCTTGCCAAGTGGTGGGGCAAATAACTTAGCTCTCTGCCTCACTTTCCTCATCTGTAACATGTGGGTATAAGTGTCAAAAGGGCTGGGTGTGGTAATGCATGCCTGTAATCCCAGCTACTTGGAAGGTGGAGTAGGAGCCAGCCCAGACAAAAGTGCGAGACCCTACCTGAAGAGCAAACTAAAAAGCAAAAGGGCTGGGGGAGTAGCTCAATGGTAGAGCACCTGCCCAGCGAGTACAAAGACCCCAGTACTAGAAAAAAACAAAAACAAAACCCAAGCAAGCAAAACAGCCGTGCCCAGTACACAGCAGGTGCTCTAATACTAACGTCATCACTGTTCCTGGCCCGTGACTTTTTTTTTTTTTTAACGGTACTGGGGTTTGAACTCAGGACCTTCACCTCGAGCCACTCCACCAGCCCCTTTATTTGTGATAGGTTCTTTTCTAGATAGGGTCTCACTGAACTATTTGCCCCCACTGGCTTTGAACCGTGATCTTCCCGATCTCTGCCTCCTGAATAGCTAGGATTACAGACAAGCCTGAGCCACTGGCACCTGGTCTGTCCCCCTGGGGACCATCCTGCCCTCCTCCCAGGGCTACTGTGCCCATCATGAGCCTCACCTATCTAACCTTAGGCTAATGCTGAGGGCATTCTTAGTTCAGCCTGTAGGAGAAGCCAGGCTTAGGGTCCCTTTCATGGAACCCCCGGCCTTCCCATGGCAGCCTTGCTAGGCCCAGTCCCTTGCCTCCTGGGCCTCAGTTTCCCCTCCCATCTCCTGGCACCATCCCCATGGTTCCTCCTCCCCTTGGTGCTTCCCTGGCCTCCCCCTACCATTCACCTCTACTGAGACTCCTCAGGGCTCTGGGAGAGACCTCACACCTGGCATCATGTCCCCACCTGACACGGAGAGGGACTGAGACTCAGACAAGATAGGTGATGTGTTCCCACCCAGGGGTAAAGCCAGACTCAAAGCCAAGGCCCTGGGCTCCTTCATTCCTCTGAAAAGCTGCTATTCCAAATGGACTCCAGTGGCTTAGCCCCTGACATCCTAGCTACTTAGGAGGCAGAGATCAGGAGGATCCTGGTTCAAAACCAGCCTGGGCAAATAGTTCATGAGACCCTATCTTGAAAAAACACTTCACAAAAAAAGACTGGCAGAGTGGTTCAAATGGTAGAGCTCCTGCTTAGAAAGTGTTAGACCCTGAGTTCAAACCCAATACTGCCGAAAAAGGGCTGCTCCCCCTTCAGCCACATACCCTTGCCTCTTTCCTTGTCTGCTTGATCCCCTGTTGGTTCCCATTCTCAGCTTCTCTCCCCACCCCCAAAGAAATTTGTCTTTTTGTTGTAGTTTGGTTTGAGCTTGGGGGCACTCTACCACTGGAGCCACACCTCTAGCCCCCAGCCCTTTCGTTTCTATTTTGTTTTTTGAGATGGAAGTCTCTGTAACTTTTTCCCACCCCCAATCCCAGGCTAGCTTCAAACTCATGATCCTCCTGCCTCCACCTCCCGATTAGCTAAGATTATAGACATAATCCACACAGCAAAATTTGTCCTCATAGCATGTGTCCCTGCTAGGGAGGTCATCCCCCCACTGCCCCCTCCCGTGCCCTCTCCCAACCCACCTCAGGTAGGCCTGGGACAGATCCCAGCAGCAGGGGGCAGCCAATTCAGTGGGCTCGGGGCCAGAATTTGGACTGAGGGATCAAGAATGGGACCTTCACAAGCCCCTGGCTCTGTGCACCCTCCCGTGGGGCACACCTGGGTAGTTCTGGCCACAGGGGACTCACCTGCCCTGCAGGTTCTCCCTCTCCCCTCACACTCTCCCCACTGGTGGGGTCGCCTCCCCTGTTAGCCTAACATCACACTCTGTTGCTAGGACCCATTATCACAGCAAGTGGCAGCTGATTGGCCAGCCAGGCCTAGTCCAGTAATGTAACAGTGATGTCAGAGGGCGGAGCCGGGGTGGAGCAGGGACCCCACCCACACCCCAGCTGCTCCTAGGGCCCCCACTCCTGGGCACACTGGGCCCTCAGTCCCACAGGAGGCCCTGGAAAGAGAATCTTTTTTATTTTTGTGGTACTGGGCTCAGGGCCTACACCTTGAGCCACTGCAGCAGCTCTTTTTGTGATGGGTTTCTTGAGATAGGGTCTCAGGAGCTATTTGCCTGAGCTGGCTTTGAACCGCTATCCTCCTGATCTGTGTCTCCTGAGTAGATAGGGGTATAAGTGTGAGCCACGGGCGCCCAACCTAGAGAGATCTTTCTAACACAGACTTGTTCAAGACTCTCTTGTGTTCCTCATCCCCAGGACAAAGTCCCCAAAGCACAGCCTGGCATGGGTCTGAGGACCTGGCCCTGCTCACTGCTCCACCCCCATCCAGGGGACTCTCAGTTTCCCAAATGGGTCATTTTCTGGCCTGTCACCTACTTACCTCCACCCCTCACAAGGTGCCACATGCCCTGTGAGTTGTGGCTTAGCTTGGTCAGCATTGGCTGAGGTGAGAAGAGACAGTGAAAAACGACCAGGTCTCAAACCACCCACTTGGTTCCTGCCAGCACCACCTTCTCCGGCCCTAGCCAGGATTTGAGGACAGAGGTGGCTCAGGTTAGCAGCCACACCCCAGACTCCCTGACCTCTGCCTTCCTCTTTCCCCAGGATTTATCTGACTTCTACTCACCCCAGCCCACCTGCCAGGGCCCCCTCAGGTGCCAGGCTTCCACTGCACCTCCGTCCACTCTGCCTCTCCTCCTCTGCCTCCTCATGACCCTATAAAGTGGCGTCCATGTGACAAAGGTGAAAGTTGAAAGGTGCAGATGAGAAAAGAGGGAGGGGGAAAGCCCTACCCAACCCCCAACCGGGAAAGAAACGGGACAGCAAGGAAGAAAGAGGGGGCAAGGGACAAGTGGGCTACAGAGCATGAACTGACTCAGAGCCAGAGGACAGGAATCAAGGACCGGGGCCCATGGCCAGTGTGGCTCAGTGGCAGAGCCCTGCCTGTGCGAGGCCCTGGGTTCCATCTCTAGCACTGCAAAAAAACAAAAACAAAAACGAAAAATGGGTGGGGGAAGCCTGGGGTCATCGCGCAATCACTCAAGTGGTAGAGTGTCTGCCTGGCAAGCTCAAGGCCCTGGGTTCAATATTCAGGAGCACAAAGAAAACAAGGAATGTGCTGGGCATGGTGGTCACGCCTATAATCCCAGCACTTACTCAGGAGGCTGAGGCGGGAGGATGGAAAAATCCAGGCCAACCTGAGACAAATGCATAGCAAGACCTTATCTCAAAAAAAAAAAAAGAAAAGAAAAAAGGAGAAAAAAGAAAAACGCTCTCAAATACAAAATCGTTAAACAAGTCCACAGACACACAAGTCTCAAAAGACACACACAGCCCTTCAGACTTGAGAGGCAATTAAATTACACACAGACAATATCTGCAGAGCCCAGGGCACCGATCATGCACGTCACTCACTCTGCCCCAGCTCCGAGCCAGGCCCCAGAGGTGCATCAAACCTGGCCACTGCCCTGGGGTGGGGGGTGGGGAGGCTCCAGGTCCGAAAACAGCGAGATTTGTTACAGTCCAGGGTAACAGAGGCCATGCAGGCTGGCATGCACCCAGGGCATCCCATCCCCGCTGCTCCTGAGAGCAGTAGCCAGACAAGCGGCATTCCCACTGACCTGCCAGGTCTCCTCTTCCCCCTTCAGGCATCAAATGTTTGAGATTTCTCCAGGACCCATCCTGGGCTGAGTGCTGGGAACACAGCCATGACCAAGACAAGCCTGCGTCTCTGTGCCCACAGGGTTCAGAGTCCAGCGATGAAGTCAGATTTGTCACAAATTATGGACAACCCAGAGTGGGCAGAGTTGGACTGGGGGACTCCAGAGTGATGGGAGCACAAAGAAAGTTCCTGACCCAGCCTGGGAGTCCTGGAAGGAGGTGGCTCTTGTGCTGAGATATGAAGATGGTTAGGAGTGAGCATGACCTCTGGTGAGTGACATCCCTGGTAAAGGGACCACCCCCTACACAAAGACCCTGAGCTACCAGGTGTGGTTGTTCACACCTACAAACCCTGCTACTCGGGAGGTGGAGATAGGAGGATCAAGGTTTGAGACCAATCTAGGCAAAAGTGTGAGACCCTATCTTAAAAACAAAAGCAAAAGGCCTGGGGACGTGGCTCAAGTGGTAGAGCAAATGCCTAGCATTCGAGAGGCCCTGGGTTCAATCCCCAATTGCACAAAAAATAATAAATAAAAAAGAGAAATACAAATAAAAACCTTGAACGAAAAGAGAACCGTTGATCCAATAATTCATGCCAGGATTTGGTCCCTGCCTAAAAGTGTGTTCAGACTCGACCGTAGGCCAGACCCCCTACAGGTCCAGAGACGAACTAGTATTCCTGCTCAACCTGGACTCATGGCTGGTGGGATGGCATGGTGGCACCTCAAGACGGCGTGACGATGGCACATGCTTCCTGAGCAGGGCACTGTTTTAAAGCACACAGGTTGGAGGAACTCATTTGGCAAGACTAGAATTCTGTTCTCGTGACTCATCCAAAATGCAGGAGCTGGGACTGGGCTGTACTCAGTGGTACGTGCTTAGCGTGTGGGCACTCTGGGCTCCATCCCCAGAACCTTAAAAAAAAACAAAACACCAAAATCAGCCAGGAGGAGCTGAGGCCGGTAGAGAAAAGGCAGAGACAAATGAGAGGCTCACATTTATTCATTCTCCACTTCCACGGCTCTGCATATAATCAAATCTACTGTGCCATTGGCCGTCAGACAGACAAGTCCTTTTCAGTTTTGCTAACAACAAAAACAAAAGCACTGCCAGTAAAATGATGATGCAAGCTTTCTTTATCGCTTAAAATTTTTATTTTACAATTGCTGGAAGAGGTCTTGGTAACTTATTTTAAAACCGAGAGTTTTATCGTACATCAGTATGGAGTACATTAAAATAGAAAACCACGGCCGGGTGTGGTGAGGTGTACCTGTAATCCCAGCGCTCAGGAGGCTGAGGCAGGAGGATGGTGAATTGGAGGCCAGCCTGGGCTGCACAGTGAGACTCTGTCTCAAAAAGTTTTGAAAGGGAGCTGGGCGTCCGTGGCTCACGCCTGTAATCCTAACTAGTTGGGAGACTGATATTGGAAAGATTGAGTTTCCAGACAGTTTGGGCAAATAGTTTGTAAGATCCCAACTCCAAAATGCCCAGAACAAAATGAACTGACTCACTTGGCACCTACCTACCAAGTGAGAGGCCCTGAGTTCAAACCCCAGTTCCACCAAAAATAAAAATAAAAAGAAGGCCAGGTGCTGGTGGCTCACCTCTGTAATCCTAGCCACTCAGGAGGCAGAGATCAGAAGGATTGTAGTTCAAAGCCAGCCCAGGCAAATAGTGAGTGAGACCCTATCTCAAATAAGCCTGTCACAAAAAAAAGGGGCTGGGGGAGTGGCTCAAGGTGTCGGCCCCGAGTTCAAAGCCCAGTACTGAAATAAAAAAAAGATATATGTATGTATAATAATGAGCTGGGTGTGGTGGTGCCCTCCTGTAATGCCGGCTGCTCTGGAGGCAGAAACAGGAGGATCACAGTTTGAGATCAGCTTGGGATACTCAACAAAACCTGACTCAAAAAAATTACAAACAAAAGGTTTAGGGTGTGGTCCAAGTCCTAAAGTATTTGATTGGCGTGAGAAAGGCCCAGCTTCAATGAATTATAAATTATGAATTATTATGAATTATGAATTATTATTTTATGAATTATAAAACATAATAAAACCTTATCCATAGTGTGTTTCCATTCAAGCTTTTGCTTCAGGTACCAACATGGTCTGGTATGGCACTGGCTTTTATTTAAAATTTTGCTCAAACACTGCACTTTTTTTTTGCATTAATTTTGATTCATTAAAATAATATTTATCTCGATCTGAGGCTTTTCTGGCAGCCCTTCACATTTCCTCCCAAGGCCACCGCCTCAGTGCCTGCCCCAGCTCTCTGTCCTCATTCCTGGCTTAGTCCTCACGAGTCTGCGGACCGGGTTGGCTGGGCTCAGCTGAAAGATCAGACTTTTCCAGAACCCTTTGCTGAGGTCAGCCTCCCCCTCGGCTCCCACAGCCCCTGCACACACCGTGGAGCATCACGATGTGGGGACCATCTGGGTCTCCCTTGGACCCTGAGTCCCTCTGGGACAAAGGTGGGGCTGTCTCCGTCATCACTGGGCCTCCAACAACCAACCAGCCCTTGGCTTGTGGTCAGTGTGTGCAACCTTAGCTTCCTCTTTGTGGGACAGGCTGGGACAGGGCTGTCACCATCACTGCATGACCCAGCCTGGCCAGAAGCAGAGCCGACACTTTCATTAACTCTAGGTTGCACTTTGTTCTTGTGATGGGGTCTCCCTATGTAGCCCAGGCTGGCCTCGAAACACAGATCCTTCTGCCTCGGCCTCCCGAGTGCCAGGATCACAGGTGTTTGTCTTTTTCACATTGTAGCAATTCTGAAATCAGGAAGGGTCACAGTAAATGGCAACCAAGAGGCCATTGTGACAGGGGTGTCACTGCCCCCATGTGACAGTAGTACAGCCTTTTTTTTTTAAGGAATGGAGTACTAGGGTTTAAAACTCAGGGCCTTGTCTTGCTGAGAAAGTGTCGTGCCACTTGAGCCACTCCCCCAGTCCTTTTGGTTTTAGTTTATTTTTCAGGTAGGGTCTCACACATTTGCCCAGGAAGGCCTCAGACGGAGATCCTCCTACCTCCTCCCGCCAAGTAGCCGGGATTACAGGAGTGCACCCCACCCACGATGTGGAGCGATTATTTATTTATTTATCTATCCTCTTTCTTTGGCAGTACTGGGGTTTGAACTCCGGGCCTC